AGGATGGGACCAGTAGAGAGAGTGACAGTGATGCAGCCCAGCAGAAGTTCAATCGATCCCACAGGGAGCTGGGGTGACTCTTCAGATCTGTGCCCAACTGGACCAATGTGGCTCAGAGTCTGTACCCCCCATTCCCCAGCCCTTAGCTATAGGCTGCTCCCAAGGAAAAGCATAATATTAAGTGAGACAGCTCCTATGGTCAACAGCAATTCCCAGGGAGGAATCCATTCATCACAGCCAACTTCCCCAGCAGGGGAGGAATGAGTAGCTAGCAGCCTTAGCTCCTCCTGATGATCAGATCCCATCACTCCTGCCAGAATGCTTACTAGTCTCACACTGACCTAACTAAATGAGAGCCATAGCTTAAAGACCAGTAGAGACTTGTATTTCCTGATAGAAACATGCCTTTCTGTAACCAGGACTTCTAAACTCTTGAAGCCTAGAGTTGTAGAAATAAAATGTAGCTTCCTCAAATAGACTATTGGGAATGTTAGCAAGAGATATCACCTTCTATTTCTACCCCCTCAATTTCCAGACCTATGTAGTCTACTGTCTGGGGACATAGCACCATATACTGATTGTTGAGTTATGATGGACATCCTTCCCTGAAGGATAATATCCATATTGCAAGGTATTATTTCCAAATTAGTGCCACAGCTGTGTTTGTGAAAGGCCTTTCCATTGTTCACTGGCTATCATGTCTAGATGGCATATGTTGGGACTAGAGGTACAGTACATGGGCCCCCTGGTCATGGGTTCACTGCTGAAACTTCTTTGCTATAAAGTAGATCTGGGTGGCACATTACAGCATATATTCAAAATCATCATCATTTCTATCCCCACTCTAAATGCCCTGTGGGTGCTGTTCAATCCTGTAATAAGTATAGTGCTGTACTGCTCAAGTGGGATGTGTGTCCATGGAGACAGCGCCACTATCTGTAGCTGCTCTAGAATTGCATCTGGGTCCATCACCCCCAAAATACTCCTGGAGCAGCAATGCTACTGCAAGATAAGTAGTTTTTAATAGCATCACCACATTGCAATAACAAATACATGTTAAGCAGAACAAGGGTATATGATGAATTCTTTTTTTTTTTTTTTTTTTGTACCGGGGATAGAACTCAGGACCTTGTGCTTGCGAGGCAGGCAACAGAACCACTGAGCTAAATCCTCAGCCGTGAAAATATATGATGAATTCTTAAACAATTATCTTCAAACAAATGTGGTGTGTAGGCAGACTGATTGGGTGAAATCCCGTTTGCCAGGGGAAAGTGTTCACTGTTCTTCGTCCTTTGAAATCAGATGATAGACACATTGATAGTGGTATGAGCACTGAAGTAAGGATCAGGAGATTCCCAAATCTAGAGTCTCATTTTTCATTCCTAGTGATAATTTAGGCAAGACATTTAAGCAATTTATGTTCTCCTCTTCATATACAAGTGCCCATTCACAGCCTCCTCCTCCTCTTTCTCTTCCTCCTCCTTAATATCTCAAAGGCACTTCAAACTCAAGTCCAAAACCTACCTCATGATCTTTCCCCACAATAGAGTTATTTTCCAACATTTCCTATCTGTGTAAATGGCACTAACATCTATTCATTGTTTAGGCAAGATACCTATTAATTATCTTTGACAGTTCTTCTTCAACCCTTACCAAATTCACAAAGGAACTTTGCAGGTTTTACTTCCTAACTGGCTCTGGAATTCATCCACTGTTGTCCATCTCCTCCACAATCACCACCACACAGTCCTGGTCATTTCTCTGGAGTATTACAGTGTCCTCCCAACTACCCTACCTGCATTGACTCTGCCCCCACCCCATACTCCTGAGATTCTGGGCCTTTTGTCCAAATGTCCTACAGATATATGCACACTACTATCCAGTTTTCCTCCTAAACAACCACAGCAACCTTTCTGAAAAGTAAACTACCCTGCCATCCCTGCCTTGATTAACAGGACCTATGAGGCAGGATGTGGCCTGGCCACTCCCTTACTCTCTGGTTTCATATGAAAACAGGCTCCCTCTCTTTCTCCCACCATACTGGCCTCTTTTCATACCTTCATTCCCCTTTATTCTGCTCATCCAGCTCCCATCACAGATTTTGCTTAAACTTGTCCTCTCCGTCTGGACCTCTTCCTTTACTCTTCACCTGGTAAACATGTACTCACCTGCCACTTCTCAGATAAGCCTTTCCAACCTCCTAACCAGGTAAAATCCCCTATTATAACCCCACTATCAATACTTCTAGTGCTTCTCAAAGCACAAATTTATATTTATTTGAAGATTTGTTTAGTTAATCTTTTTCTTCCAAATGAGACCATGAATTTCACAAGGAAATTAGTGATGTCCAGTTTGCTCACCATCATATCCCCACTGTGAGTACAGTTCTGGTATAGGAAGGAAGGAAGGAAGGAAGGAAGGAAGGAAGGAAGGAAGGAAGGAAGAAGGGAAGGAGGGATGGGGGGAGAAGGTGTAGAGTGGGAGTCCTGCCTCAAGAGCTCTGTAATCTAGTTTGTCTCCCTCAAGTTCTCCTTCCAGCCCACTTGTCCTGTTTATCCAAAACCAGACTCCAGTGACTAGACACCCAGATGCCCTGTAGAGCCAGCAGAGGGGCAAGTCACTGAGTGATCTCAAATCCTCTGTAAGTTTGCTTCCTTCCATTCACATCCTTTTGGATTTGCCTGGGAAAGTAATAATGCCTTAAGGCATCGCTTAAAAGTGTGGAAATTTAGTCATGAAATCCCAGGTCTGAACATTGGCTCTGCTCCTTATACCTGTGAGAATTTGGGCCAGTTAATTTATTTAAAACTGCAATATCCTCATCTATAAAATAAAGATAATAAATATAAGGTATAGGAATATTGTAAGGTTTAAATGAGATAATATATGTAAAGTACTTACAAAATGCTTGGTAAGCTTTAAATAAGTAGCATCTGTTATTAGAATTTAATGACAAAAAACTGTGTTCCCACTTGGGATTTGTCTACAACATTTCAGCACCATTTCTTACCTATTTAGGTTGCAATCTCCTCCCAGATCATGCTGGATTCTTTTTCCTTTTTCTTTTCCAAGGGCCCCTCCCCTGGCTCCTGTGTTCTTTGTCCTCAACACTCTGCCCCTCCACCTCTCTTAGGAGGAAGCTACAGCTACTGGAGCCACAAGTTCCCAGGAAGGCGCTTTGCTGATGGGTGACTAATACAGGAATGTGAAAAACTAGCTCTCTTGCTTTGGGTAGGAACTAACTTTGAGGCATAATTTATATTCTGCAGTTCTCTTTTGGAAACAAGCTGATTGAAATGTCACTCTACTCTCTTTCCACTTCCTTCCTCTCCACCCCCTTACCGGTTTCTCCTGGATCACTACCCTAATAAATCTCTTGCACACACACCCTTCTATCAGGATCTGCTTCTGGGAAATACACACCAAGAAGGATCTCACCCTCCTGGGTCCTGAAGGAAGAATGATGGTCTTTTTTTAAAGTCAGAGTATGTGGGCTTGACAAGATGAGGTCCATACTGATATTTTCACCACCATACATCAGAGATAAAAGGAACCTGGGATCAAAGCACACCCTTTTGGAATCATCCCATTTGAAATTTGAAAAATAGATGCTCTTACCCTTTCAACTTATTTTTCTGAGCCACAGCTTCTCCATCTGTGAAGCTTTTAAACTAACAAGTCTCACAGGGAGTTCACGGGAATGCCTGCAAGAGTCTCTTGACCAAAATATTTTTAAGTTAGTATATCTTCCCTCTACAACATAAACTTCTCTAGCTTAGCAGACCTTTATTACAGCTGCTGCAACTAGCCCTGGCCAGCAGGAGGTTGGCTGGAGCACAGAGGCAGCCATGCCACACAAACAGCACAGGCAAGTAGTATGAAGGGTCTCCACTCTCACAGGGACGTGCCTCTGGGGAACCATTCTTTCTTTTCATTGGTCCTTTCAATTCAACAAATGCTGTCGAGCATCTCTCTGTACCAAGCACTCTGCTGTCTGCAAGGGTGAGTGAAACTGACATGGCTTTGACCAGGGGAAATAGACACAAATAACCAGCCAAGTATGTACCAACTGCTCGACATACCTAGCAGGACAAAGTGCATGGCCCGAGGAGATGTTCTAAGAAGTGATCTAACCTGTGGAGATTGGAATAAAGAAAGGCACCTTAGAGAAAGTTGGGAGAAGAGGTCAAAACCTCTTTCAAAGAAAGAAGGTCAAAGAGCACAACCACAGAATCTGTGAGCAGATATTCTGCCTCAGGGCAGAAAAAGTATGAAACGCTAGAGGAACTAGAAGAAAGCTGACAGGTGGAGCACAGAGCCAAATGACTGTGGTGGGGAAAGGGAGCTGAGCTAGAGCCAGGCCAGACAGGATCGAAGATCATCCAGTTTTGTCCCAGCACCGTCTCCTGCCTGACTGGACCCTGCCCGTTGGGGCTGCACAGCTCATCCCTTCCTGGCAGGTTGGCCTGGGCTCTGAAAGCTCGTCCTCCCACTGGGCCCATCCCACTTCCACTGGCATCTAATTTGGGTATTACCTAACAGTCTCTTACTGTGAGTTGATACAGAGCAAGTGTCCAGAGTGCATATGGAGGTACAAATCGACAGGGAAGAGGTTAGCATGACTAGAAGAGCCAAACTGGAGGCTACCACTGTCCAGGGATGTCAGTTAGTGGTCTATGTTGAGAAGCTGGGAATCACGTCCCCTCCTTTCCTAGGGAAATTATATAAATGCTCCCGAAAGACATTCCTGTTTTGCTGGCAAACCTACATCAGAACACTGCTTACCAGTGACCTCCAAGCACCTGATTTTTTTTTTAACATTGTAAGTGGCATTTAGCAGTAAGGCTAATAAACTACAGCTTTGCCAACAATAATCAAAATAAATGCAAAGGATTCTCTCTTTACAGTGAGTGATGTCTACAATGACGAAGAAAGTTCAAGGGAAAGAGCCTCAGAGAGAGTCCTTCAGAGATAAAAGAGAATCCAGGAGAGGCACTTACCTTGAGACTCAGCTCTTGAAAGGCAACAACGTTCTTTTCCTTTTAGTCAGTTAAAAATCCTCACACTGTATTTCGGGGCAGGGCACTAATGAATCCACTGAAGCCATTTATAAAAATGTAACCTGTGCAGTCTTTGTATCCAGGCATCACATTCTCACTGCCCCCAGTCAGGACTACATGGGAAGCTGACCTCTAGCCCTGCTTTTGTTGAATCCCACAAGCACACTCAGCCAACCCACAGTGCTATGGGTGAAGGTCAAGGTCAACAAACCCTTCCATTTACAGAAAATTCTGCCTGCTCAAAAAGTAGAGGGAAAAAAGGACACCCCAAAAACTATGAAGATGCCAGTCTCTCAAATTCATTAAAAATTTAAAGCAAAGTAAAATAAAATAAACATGGAAGCTTGTTTAATTCCCAAAAGAAAGACTATAAAGTTTCATTTTAGGTTCTAAGAGCTCAAATTTTGCTTTGAACCAAGGTTGCTCATTTTTTTCCCATCAATTAAAAAAGCTCAGAAAAGGAAAGAAACCTTAAATATTCCCAACTCAGCATGGTCTGGTGGCACACCCTAATCCTAGAACTCTTGTATCCTGAGCCAGAAGGATCACAAGTTCAGGCCCCAACCTAGTGAGACCCTGTCTCAAAATAAAAAATTAAAAAGGCCTAGGGATGTACCTCAGTGTAAAAGCCTAGGTTCAACTCCAGTACCTTGACCATCCATGCTCTTACCTTCTAGCTGAACCTTTCTTCTCTCTCCCTAAGGCGACTGGCAAATCTTGTGAGAACAGAGCTATTTCAGGAAACTCTGCACTCCAGAGGGTGACCACACTGACACTTACCCTCCCATCGGAATCTTAATGGACGGTGGGGTGTGGAGGACATTCATAAAAACAAGCATGGTAACACATGTTTTTGTCTTAAGGGAAATCATACTGTGGGTCAAAAATACATTTTATGCTTCCTCCTCACCATAGTCTCTAAGATTGCTTGGGGTTCTGAGCTTCTAGCAGAGAGAAATTTTGGAAGAATTTATATTTTCTTGATCTAACAATGGGGAAACAAAAGCAAAGGAGCAGCCACAAGTGAAAGATGTTAGTATAAACTCAGTTAATTGATGGTTTATAGTAAATTTGAAAAGGAAGGAAGGAAGGAAGGAAGGAAAGAAGGAAGGAAGGAAAGAAGGAAGGGGGGAGGGAGGGGAGGGGAGGGAGAGGAAGAGAGAGGAAGGGAAGGAGGGAGGGAAATCGGACCCTGCTTAGCCTGAGCAAGGTTCTTCTCCTCCAATTGGCCTTGTGAAGCCCACACAGAAGCACTGAGGCCAGCCTCTGGAGCTTATTGATAGTAACTGTTCTATTTATCAAGCCTACCTCATATGTCAGACACTGCTTAAAATGTTATGTCTTCATGTTGTCATTTGATTTTCACAATAACCCTACAGGGTACTTTCATTACTCCCATATCACAACCGAGGAAATTTGGACTCAAAGAAGTCAAATAAGTTGCACAAGGTCACCCAAGTGAAAAGAACAGACATTCAAACTCAGGACTGAGAGTCTCTAAAGTCTGTGCTTTTTATTTCTGTTCATCAGTGCTTCAAGGACAAGGACCATGTCCTCTTCATTTCCACTGCCCAGTCACCAGAGCAGAATGTCAATAAACAGCATTGAACTGAAATGACCCAACCTAAGCTAGCTCAGGTTCACATCAATGACTTTACGGTTCCCACTAGGCTGGCTCATAACAACAAACAGGGTGGGGATGGGGTTGGTGGACAGGCAGCCTCTGTGTCTTTGTGGAAAATGATTTTGATATGGCTATGAAATAAAATTAGCAGTTTTGTTATCGGATGGCCCTTAGTTGCAATACTCTGTCATTCCATCTATATCCTAAGTCTCAGCAGAATGTAATAAAAATTACAGAGGAAAAAGGGGGGTGGGGGTAAGCATAGGCCAAGTGGTTCCAGACTCTTTGGTGAAACAGAAAAAGAGACTCCTGGGGTAGGACTGGGTCCCAGCTCATCACATCTGTAAGGAAAGTGGGATTCCTGAAGGCCAAGGCAGAAGTTGTGACACTATGAAAAGGGAGAAGTGAGAGTCCTTCTGTGATGAGATATGGCCCCAGTCCACGTTGTCTTAGCCCCTAAGCTGGGCTGTGACTACTTCCTTCCAGAGCTGCACTCTCCGGGTAGAAGCAAGTATCAGCAGCACAGAGAGTCCTTGAAAGCCACAGCGATGGTGGCAAAGGCTCCGGCCTCAGAAGAATTCAAGGATATCTGATGAAGCAGTGAACAAAGAGCACACAAGACCTTGGACCCTGAATGTGTCTTCCTGAAAATTACTCACGGGGTTGATTATAAAGATTCTTTGGGCCTGCAGCAGGATTTGGGGCCAGGTTTCTAGATGAGGATTTTTAGGGGCTGGGCCTATAATTAGGAAAAGGGGAGTGAACAAAACCAATCACTTTATCTCATCCAGGCCAGTAAGAGATACATCATTAAGAAGCCCCTTTTTGGGGGGGTCATCTCCACAGGCCGACCACATGCAGGCTTCCACTCATGCCTAAGCAATGCATCTGCTGGGCCATTTGATTTAAAAATAAAATTCCAGGGCCTCACTCTGCATTTCCTGAGTCCAGACGCCCAGGCATATGTTTTTAGTGAGGACTGCAGGTCCTTTACGGAGCAGATAAGCCTGGGAAACACAGATACACTCCAGGCCCTTCCTGCGATGGCCCTTAAAAAGGGACACAGCACCAGGACAATTTTGAAAGCTATTTGTAAGCTTGATTGAATGTTGAGTGGTTTCAAATTTTAAAAATTAAAATAAAATACAATGGGAAAATCATCTTTGAGAGAACAGATATTAAATTAAAATAGACCACTTAGCAATTATTTTCAAAAGCCAGATGATTTTGAATAAAACCGCCAGCACAGCAGAAGCTAAAGGCTTGTTCCCTTTGCATCCAACTTGCTAATAAATGTGTTAATAGAGAAAACTTGTTTGGAATTCAAATAAAGATAATAGAACAGGCTCACTTGAGACCTGGCTTCATTTTTAGAGACTGTGCTTTCTTAGGAACTTCAGACCTGAAATGAGGGAAAGCTTGAGTGTATGCTTGGAGTGGATAATGAAGAAAGCCCTTGACCGCAGAACCACCCCTTTGCTGCTTTACTCAGGCCCTGACTACATGGTAGGCTTGAGAACCTTCTCTTGATTTGTACCAGCTGGGGTGCAGAAGGCTGCGTAGAGAAAGGTAGAGAACATGGGCTTCTAAAACATGGGTGTTGGTGTGTTCAAATCCTACTTCTGCTAATACATGTAATTTAAACTCAGTCTTTTTTTCTGGAGTTCCAGGGCTTGAACCTAGTGCCTTGTATATGGTAAGCAAGTGGTTTGCCACTGAGCTACTCAGCCCTAAACTCTCTCTTAGTCACGACTTCATTACCTATAAAATAAGAAATAGTGTAATAGTGAAACCTTATTCTTAATGATTGTCACATAACTTGATACAACATGTCCACACAGTCAGTGACCCATAAGAATTCAGCAGCTTTTAGCCAGGCACAGTGGCACAAGCCTATAATTTCAGCACTCTGGGAGGCTAAAACAAAAGAATCACAAGTTCAGGCCCTGCCTAGGCAATTTAACAATTGAATGAGATGGTAGCTTAGTGTGAAGACCCTGGTTTCAATCCCTAGTACTGAAAAAGGAGAAGGAAGAGGAAGAGGAGGAGGAGGAGGAAGAGGAAAAGAACACGTGGAGGAGGGGAAAGTGGAGAAGGAAGAAAAGAAGGAGGAGGAGGAAAAGGAGGAGGGGAAGGAGAAGAAGAAGGGCAGGAGGAAGAAGAATTAGTGAGCTTTATTACTATTTGAATGGTAAAAACTTAATGTCACAGATTTCGAATTAACACTAGCCTTGCCAGGTCACTCGTTGCTAAAACATTTTCTATTTCTGGCATTCAAATTTGGTTTTTGTATAACCCACATCTCGTTCTCACCAAAAACTAGTAGTACTGTCAACTTCAGTATCACAGCTTCTTTTTTAACAATCTATTTCCAGACAATAATTTCCTCTAAACTGTCTCCATGTCCCTTAGGGATATGGCCTGAATTTTTTGATGTTTTAACCATGCTGACAAGTTAGATCTTATAGATGTGTGTATTTCCTGTGATGAGATTTTCTCATTTTGTTGTTTAGCCAAGTTTTATTTTTTCTTTAAACCTCTTATGTCAGGCCTTTCTCCCCGCAAAGACCATCCAGGGACAGTCATACTTTATTAATGCTATAAATTCAGCACTCAATTATTCATTCAACAAAGATTAACTAAACATCTAACATCTTCTAGGCATCATTTTTGTCTGTATCTTTAATCTGGCACTTTTCTTATAAGTATTTTGATTATTGTTGTTATTATTACCATTATTTCCTCTCTACACTAAATTGAAACTTCATTGCCATCGGAGATGAAGCTGAATTCTTCCCTCACTGCTCAGTGCCCAGTGTTTTCCACACAATAGACTTTCCAGAAAAGATTTCTTCTTGACCATGATGGTAATCCTTGTCTAGATGAGGTGTCTCCCTCAAGGTAGAGAAAACAAGGTGCTTAACCCAGCTTACTTGGTAGTTAGGCATATGACCTTCAGCAAGCCACTTTGTCTCCAATATTCTCAAGCTTTAAGACTTGAAGCAACTTAAAAACATGTGCATATGGCTTAGTTACCCCATCCTGGGCCTTAGAATGGTTTCTGTATTTTCCAAGTAAAGTCATATGTTTCACTTTGCTTTATTTTAAAATTCAGATTGTTCTGATAAGCTTATCCATCCTCCTATCTCATCCTTTATCTTCTCCTTCCCCTCAGCAAAAGACAAATGAAGATATATTAGGACCAGGTTGACTCCAGTCAGCACCACTTCAGCATTCCCTGAAGAACAGTGAATTCAGTAATTGGCTAGCTACCAAAGATAAGAAAACTTACAGAAGTAAAAAGACTAAAATCTGTCCTGAAACAGACTGAAATTTATTTGCACATTTGATTTCTCTTTGTCTAGATAATTGGCACCTTTTACTCCTTTTATATTCTCTGCCTTCAAGAGTAATTTATGAAAGATAAAATAACAATTTTTGGCCAGGGATTTAGCTCAGTGGTTCTGCTGCCTGCCCC